AACTTCTAAAAGTTAAAAAAGAAAGACCTTAGTTCTAAAACTAGGATTACAACACTTTCTTAAAATTACCACAAAATGCTCCCTAAAACAGGTTTATTCATATTAAAGCATGCAGAATTAGTGGGTAATCTTTACAGTTGAGCATTTCTTATATGGAAAATTGAGACATATCCTCAATGTAGTCAATAAAGCCAGAACCAAATCAATGGGCAGTTAGGGCAGCCAGATCAGTGAGCTCGAGCAGAACATCTAGTCAAAGAATCTCTTGGGTATGAAGAGCCCACACACTGCTGCCACGTGTCCGCACTCTATACGACATACAGATGGTCCCTGTCCTCTAGCGTGTGAAAGGCAGATACATAATAGATGAAGAGTCATGATCTGCTTTACTTCAGAAGGTTGGACTAGAGCCAATGGCTGGAAGCTACAAGAGGACAGCTGTCTCCCACATCAGGAAAACACTTACATCAAACAAAGAGATCCCACTGGAATTTACCTGGGTTGGTAGCTAATAGTTATAGGATTAGGGTTAGGGGATATTGAAATAGACCAGGAGTCCCAAACTCAAATGCTTTTAAAGGTCAGACAAGCAACGAATGTGAACAAAGACCTTGACCTACCAACCTGAGCAGTACACTCAAACTCATAAACTAAAAATAATTTAAAAATTAGAGAACATGCTGGGTGTGGTGGCGCATGCCTTTAATCCCAGCACTTGGTAGACAGAGGCAGGCAGATCTTTGTGAGTTCAAGGCCAGCCTGTTCTACATAGTGAGTTCCAGGCCAGCTGGGGCTACAGGGAGATCCTGTCTCAAAAAAGCAAAAAGAAAAAAAATTTTAAATTAGAAAACATATATAAAGCACTAAATATTTAAATTATGAAATAGTCTCTATTTTAAATATTAGATGATCATTAGTATATTTTTACCAACTTTTTTATGTTTTGTTGTTTTTGAAACAGTCTCACTATGTAGCCCTGGATGGTCTGAAACTTCCTGCATAGAACAAACTGGCCTGGAGCTCAGGGATCTGCCTGCCTCTGCCTCCCTAGTTCTGAGATTAAAGGCAGAACAGCACACACCCATTCATCAACTGCTTTTTAAGAGAATATGTTGATCATAATTTTGTTCTCCATGGGCTAGAGAAGCTGAAAGATCTATACAAGGTAGTAGCTCTTTGTAAATGCCCTGTATACAACAGAGGGAATTGCCATTACCACTGCCTATTCAGACACACATCCTCAGGATTTTAATTTAAATTAGAGATACTAAGTTAAGCATACAAGTGTCCCCCCAAACCTACTACCACTGAATCCATTTTATCCATTTTGTTTGTGGCCTCCAGGTCAGGAACTCTTAATTAAACCATTCTAAAAACCTGACACCCTCAAGTCCTTGGAAAATGTAAAAAGTGCTGTGCTTTAATTTTCCCTTCTGTGGATGAGATCTGCAGTCAACTTGGCAATAAAGCACAGGAGACTCTTAGGCAATAACTCCAGGATTAGCCAGTTGGAACATGTTGGCTCTAAGCCTACCTTCATGGATGTAGTAACACGGCATTGTCCTTCAAACTCAATTTCACACACCACATACCACAAAAACTCCTTATGAATCTGGATCACAAAGTAAGTAATTGTTTCAAGCCTGTGGCCATCAGATGGCCTTTTAGACCCTTGTGAAACATACAGAGAATGGAAATCAAAATATACTGATGAATATTGGACCATACACAAAGAATTCTGAGATGGAGAAGAGGGAGTAAAAAGTATTGCACATACTCCTAAGCAGCAATAGCTAACCATTTTCTAAGTGGATTGAAGATGTAGATTCAAAGCCCCATGTTGTTTACTCATTGTGAAGGAGACTAGGAGAAGACACTTGACTTACGGGTTTTTTGCATAATGCTCACACTCGGTCCCTCAATCTCCTGGAGCTTTGTGTACACACTGATTTTATAATCTGAATCTGGCTGAAGTCCATAGAAGCAATGCCTGTTTACACCTCCTCCCAAGGTGGATTCTTGTGTTTGTGCATCTGTAGGAAAAATAAAACAAAACACACATACATGAATTTAAAAAATAGCATTACTGCAGTTATTTACCTCTATCATGTGCCAAGAAATAATTTAAAGATTTTATTTATTAATCCATTCTATCCTTATAGTATTTATAATTATCTCCAACCTAAAGATAAGAAACTAAGGGTCAGAAACAATAACAAGTTACCACAGTCAGTGACTCAGTAGCAGAATTGAGATTTTAATTTGAACTCTACGCTCAGGTCTCACACACTGTTACTTTGCTTTCCACTAATATATCACAAAATAAAGCAAATTAAAAACATGGTTCTTCAAGATGAAACAGTTTGAGATTGGAGTGCTCACTAGCCAGGGACCAGATAAGGGGCTCAATGCTAGCTTTCAGGGGGGTTTAATTATGGAAAATTTCACATGCTTATTTTTTACTATAGTGGATAACTAGCTGAAGGGAAGACTCACTGTTACCACAGAGAAAACAACTGTTAAATTTCCTCTCTAGGGGCCAGTGGGATGGCTCAGCTAGGTGAAGGTGCTTACTGAGACTGAAGACCTGGGTTCAATTTTTAAGACCCAAATGATGGGAGGAAAACCAATTCCCACAAGTTGTTCATGTTTGTATTGTGGCATGAAAATTCCCCACCCCCATACAAAGTAAAAAAATAAAATGTAACTTTAAAATTTTCACTCTAAATTGATTCTGACCTAGATTGATTCTAGATTCTAGTCCATAAACTATATTTGCTCTTGTCTTTTTTTCTTTTTCCTAATATTCACTTTTTATTTATGTGAATGTGAGTGTCTGTGTGTGTATGCCACATGTATGCAGGTGCCTTAGGAGACCAGAAGAAGGTGTCACATCACCTAGACCTGGGTGCTAGGAACTGAACTTGGGTCCCCTGCAAGAGCATTAAGGGCTTCTAACTGCTGAACCATCTCTTCAGGCCAAATTGTGTTTGTTTAATAAGATCTTATAAAGCTTTATTTCCAGAAATTTAAAAAATTCTGTTAAAAGCTGCATAGATTCAATACATTACATGTTTTATTGAATAGTTAATAAGAACCATCCACTCCTGTGAAATGTTATTTCAGAAGTTTATTTAAAAATATATATATACAAAATATAAAAATAGATGAATTGCTGACTAAGTGAAAACCTCAAAGAATTATTGTGGTTTAGAAAAGATGCCATATAGATAAAGTTTAATCTGCATTTCAATCTGGGTCAAAATGCATGCATCAAAATAAACAAACATTTTTCATTTTAGCTTTGGAAAAATCCTAACCTTTAAGTTAAAACCAATTGGTAAATGACATTTAAAATTCATTTTTGTATATTGTGAATATTAAAGAATTTCAGAAGTGAATTTCATAATGCAATCTTTGTTAATATATTTGCTCATGAGGCTGGGAGTGTAGACCAATGGTAGAATGTTTGCCTAGTATGTGTGAGGCCCTAGGTTTGTGCCTCAGAACTACAAAAAAAAACCCAGCTAAATATATTTGTTCACAATAAAATACTGTCTACCATAATTATTTCTCATGCATCATAAATAAATAAATAAATAAATAAATAAATAAATAAATAAATAATAAATTAATAAATTAAATAATAACTAAATAGTCCCATGGCTTCCAGCCTGTGGGCTAGGTCACCTGGCATGGAACTTACCTCGTAAAGATGCTTGCCACACAGGCCTAGTGACCCGAGTTTGATCCTCAGAACCCACGCAAACTTGGAAGGAGAAAATTGACTCCACAAAGTTGAATCTGACTATCACACCCCCCAATAATGATAATAAATTTAAAAATTGTTGCCATGTTATAAGATTATATGTTACTGTGAAAGAAGTAAACTTGGTAAACCCAGTGCTTAGCTCAAGTTCAGCTTGTGGTTCCCAGGCTCAGAAACCCCCAATAACTGTCTCTTTCTGACCCTTCCACACCCTTTGCAGTCTGCTGGAACCCTCTATGAGCTGCCCATAATACAAACGCTTCCTGAATCCTATGTGTGGGTTATACTGATCCATATCCATGAAAGCTTTCCAGGAACTCTCCAGGGAATCAGTTCTAGAAATGTGTTTTCTGCCAGTTTCTATTTCTTATGAACATTCATCTATAAAAGACCCTTGAAAATATGATATTAATGGATTTTACTGCTAAAAATAATAACCCTGTAAACCTTGGAAAATTGGAACAGGCACTTTAAAATCAGTGGCAAATAGAGTTAGTTTAAAACCCAATACTAACAAAGAGGGGTTCCATGAGTGGGGTGCATATCCATGTTGCTTTTGGCACGTGGAACTCAAGTCTAATGGCTTTCCTTAAAGGAAAACAAAACCTAAACTGATCACCTGATGACTGATCCCTTCAATCCCTATGCCAAAAGTAGAAAGATAATTTATTTTACTTTTCGGCCTAAGGCGAAACCGTCTGACTTTGTGCATTCATTTCTAAGAAGCAAGGCTGAATACACTTTCTGGACTATTACCAGGTTGATAATGATGTCACCAACTCGACTCCCCAAAAGGTGCCACTAGTAGCTGCTGAGAGTTGTGTGTGAAGGCTTTTCAGGATCAGGACAACTACGCTACGGGAATTTTGTGATGTAAATATTTCCACTCCCAGAGCCTCTCACATACCCTGACCCCTCATTGCAATGCCAATGCTTCAGGCAGTTTGATTTTGACCACAGGTTCCACAGGAAATTTCTTTCAAGTCCTGGTCCTTGAGAAGGTAGGTGCTCTAGTGCAATTCTCTATCCCTGAAAATAGATGCTATTGCAAAACTGACATTTCAACAAATGGGGAAAAGAACAGGGCTGGAGAGATGGCTCAGCGGTTAAGAATGCTGGCTGCTCTTGCAGAAGACTCAAGTTCAGTTCCCAGCACCCAAATGGCAGCTAACAACCATCCATAACTCCAGTTCCAGGGGCTCAAACACCCTCTTCTGACCTCCATGGGCATTGCACAACATGGCTGCACTTATATACATGCAAGACTACACTCATACACGTATAATAAATAAAATAATTTTTCTAAAAAGAAAAAGCCGGGCATGGTGGTACACACCTTTGATCCCAGCACTCGGGAGGCAGAGGCAGGCAGATCTCTATGAGTTCAAGGCCAGCCTGATCTACACAGTGAGTTCCAGGTCACTATGAGACCCTGTCTCAAAAACAAAAAAGAGCCGCCCCCCAGTAAAGGAAAAAAGAAGTGCACGCTCTGAATTCTTTGCTAAGCAGGTTACAAAGAAGTTCAAAAAGTTACAGGGAATAGACAGGAGATGCATTATCTGGGCCTTTGTAAGATGAACTCAAAGAGAAACGCTGTATCCAACCTAAGAAAACAGATGGAGCAAATAGCCTCACAGGGCACCCGTAGAAGTGATGCGAGTTCTCACAGGGTTCGGAGTTACTAAGCCCAACAAAATCCTCTCACTTTGATCTATCCCAGAATTAACTAGAAGCCTATCACTGCATTTGGAAAATGGATAACTGACACATTTTATTTCAGTCTTCTGTGGGAGGAGCCTTGTCCTTTTAGTAATCCTCCCTCCCTCATCATAAAAATGTCATGTTTACACAAGCAGATGTGCTATGTTTGCCTGTCTTGAATTTCATCCCTCTTTCTTTGGATCCATCCCTCCTTCTTGGTTCTAAAGTTTGCACAGGATTGAATACCACCCTGCCCCTGTTGGCCGGACACAGTCATGGAAGACAACCAGGTCTAACCACTCTGTTTATTTCATGCCTGTGCACTCAATGACAGATTTAGGGGCATGTGACCCAAACCAGGCCAGAATGACTCAGTTCCTGGACTTTGGTTGGAAATACTGAGAAAGAGTTCTCTTTTCAATGGGCCTGTAAAGCTACAAGCTGGGGAAATGCCATTCTGGGTCTAACTGGAGCCCACTCTCAAAGCCTGGCCGATAATGAAAGGCAGAGGAGGGCAGGGAGGGAGGAAAGAGCAAGACTCCATCTCAATAACACTGTAAGAACACCTAGATCCAGATATGCCTGAAGTTGGAGATGTGTGGGCTTCTTGATGCATAAGCCAATAAATCAAGTTTTGTTTAACTTCCTTTATCTAGATTTCCATGAATGTGATAAACAAACTTGAATGATACAGCCTGGATAGTTTGTTTACAAAGTCTTGGAAATGGGTAGGTAATTGCCACAGCTGATAATGTCAAATAAAGTAATTTTGAAAAAATGAAGCTCAGTAAAGAAAGTAGATGAACAGCTGAGGTTACAGTAAAGACAACTTCTCCATTAACTTCATAAAAGTGCCCATGATCAGGCCATGGGAAATGTATGGGGAAACTCCTGTAGTATTTACCCATTCAACTAGGAACTTGGCTGAGGCATTCAACAACAGGTCAATCAGGGTAAGACTTTTCTCTAATGCATGGAGGAATTCGGTCCCATTTCTACCTGAGTTTCCTCTGGCTGGGGTAGAGGGAGAGACATTTCTGCAGAGGCAGTATCTGTAGCCAATGGAGTATGTTACAGACAATGCACACACAATGGATTATGTTGCCTGGGACCCATCCACCCACTGAAAGGATGGGCATCTCACAAGTCTTTCATAGACAATGAATCAGTGGTGATCACATTTCTCTGTAAGAGGAAGAAGCACCACCTAATTCTTCTCCCCTCAAAGAAGAAACAGGGATCCTACAACTAAATTGCATCAGTTAAAATATCAAAAACATATTCCCTATTGCTACTCCCACATTCACCCCACCAAGAATTCTTTTCTGAGCTCTCAGAATCTATTGCTGATAAACACCATTTAGTTAGACAATTGGGCTAATTTTTCTCACAAACCCTTATAATGTGGATGAGAAATAAAATTGAATAACGCTGCTGTACATTCTCATTTAGTTGAGACTAGAGAGGCGCAGCTGAAAGGTTTCTGGCAGCCTCAAAATAATGTGGAAAGAATATGAAAGGTACATACGTATGGATTCATTTTGTTGACACTGGAGATCTTGGCTTCAAAAAGAACTTATTGCAGTTTTGGATTACCAGATCAACATTATCATACATATTAATCACATTTTCTGATATGATTTGCCTCTTTGCAAATCTTGAATAAAAATACCTATAAATCTTATGAATTCCATTGAGTAAGAACATTTTCATACATATTTTTGTCAATTGAAATGTTTAAAAAATTAATACAATGAATATCTATGGGAACTTATGTTTCCTTCATTTCAAATTTCTAAACTATATAAAAGGATAGAATTACTGTGGGACAGTTTGGGAGTATGATTATTATGCTCAGTACTTTTAAACTTAACAAATACTAGTAAACATCATTCCTTCATTACTGAAGTATGAGCTATAACTCAAAATTCTGTAGCTGTTTCTCTACTCTTTGACCTCCTCTTACTTAAGCATCCTATAAATCATATTCAACACAACCATGAAATCTGTGTGCCTCTTCCCAACTTTTTTCTTTCCCTCACTGTTTATTCTGTTTTAAATACTCCAATATGAGCAGGCAATGTCAGGCTTATGTTATGCACTGAGAGTCAAGGAGGTATAACAAATCTATAGAGATAATAGATGGTTGGAGTTGGCAAGAAATTCTTCTAGAATGTTCCTCCTACTGAAACTCATACTCTATAGGGGACAATTTTTCAAATGGTCACAGCACTCTCTTACTGTCCACTTTATGGATTGAATCAAAAGTAGTTTTTTTTTATTTGGGATATAATTGTAGCTGAAAACATGGGCTACTAGCCCCAGTATTAATGGTAAAATTTCGTTCCTTCTTTCAAATGTGAAAACCAAGATCATTTGTCCAGAGAGAACAGGCTGCATTTCTAACTTCCATATCAAGTTGAAACATGAAAATTTTCATTTGATATTTTATACCCAGAAAGTAAAAATGCATTTATTTTACGCATTTAGTATGAATTGAATCCCAGTACTTTTCATCTTTTATTTCATTTGCTGAATGTCAGGTGTGATAACACTGTGAAGGGACTACTCATTTGGGGAGGCAGATTACCTTTATGTTGTGTTGTTCTTCTTTTTTAATTTTAAAATTGTGTGTGTGTGTGTGTGTGTGTGTGTGTGTGTGTATGTGGCTATTTGCATATGTGTACAGGTGCTGTGGAGGCCAGAAAAGGGTCTCGGGTTCCCTGGAGTTAAAATTAACAAGCAGTTGTGAACCACCCAATATGGGTGCTGAGAACTGAACTCAGGTCCCCTGGAAAAGCAGGAAGTGCTCTTAACTACTGACCATCTCTCTAATCCTGTTATTCATATTTTTAATGATGACAAGAAAATGTTTCTAGTGCTTAGTATTTCAACTCTGTAGCAAAGCTCCAGCTCATAGATGTATTGAAAATGCTGAACAATTTCCTCATGATTATCTGGATACGTGACACCTGTTCCTGAATTAGAGCATGTTCATCAGTTACCTCCAAGGAAAAGAAACACCAAGTACTATATTCCATCCAACCTGGTCATCATAGAGTAGATACCAAATTATAGCACTGCACAATTTTGATGTATGCAAGTCCAGGTTATTTGGATTTTGTGATTAACCCTAAAACTCAACTCTATGGTTATGTCTGTTAATAGATGAGAGAAATGGTGGCTTGGAGAAGTTCAGGAGGTAAGTTTAGTGAGTCTGACTTAATACTCTGCACCTCTGAGCACTGTACATGACTTCCAGAAGAGGGTTCTTGTCTGATGTTGCTTATATTGCCCACAGTGCCTCTCATAGTATTCAAGTATTCACAGAGTACTTGCAAGTGCTTCACAAAAACAAACAGCAACAGGAACTGCCCCCCAAAACTACGATGGGTTGTACTTACCCTGAAGAGATTCTAGAACAATCCTGTAGGCTGTGGCATGACGATGTATTTGCCACCGAGTACACAAGCTTGTCATTTCAACCTGGTTGGCTTGGAGATCAGTGACACCCAAGAACACTACAATAAAACAAACAAAACTATGTCACAACACAGACGCTGCCGCACATGTTACCCGTTCTGGAATTAATTTATGGTAAAAATTCTCATTCAGAGCTCTGTATTCAATACTGGGAAATTCATCAACTCACAATAAATTGGAGAATAAAAGAAAATTATTTTATGATTTAAATAAGCTGTGTTCAAAACAAGATCTATGAAGCAATTTAGCTGATGATTGTAAATAGAAAAGGACACATATATCCAAAGGAAAGGGGTAAGATGCAAAGGGTGGTGATGTAATGGCCGATTTCTGATCTTCCCCCTTTATTTATGTGTGCTTCTACTTGTTCTACAACCACTGTAAATTAAGAAGTAACCACCTATGTGTTTATAAATGAGTGAGACTAATCATGACAGATAAAGAACAGTAAAGTAGATGATGGACATGTTACATAAATGAATGCAGTTTCATCATGACCATCTTCAAAGAAATCACAGTGTTTGGCTTTTTGCTTAATGCCCTCCAGGCTCATCTACATTGTGGCAAATGACAGGATTCACACCTTTAAATGGCAAATGATACTCAATTGTGATCTTATGCACACATGGATTCTCACAAAATTGATCTTATAGACGTAGAGAGAAGGGTCGCCACCAGAGGCTGGGGAGGCTGGAGAGGGATGGAAAGGGAAGGAAAGAATCCCCGTGTTCTATTGCCTAGTAGGGTCACTGCAGCCCGGAACAATGCACTGCCAGTTTCAAAATCAGTGAAGGAGATTTTGAATAGTCTTGCTGTAAAGAAATGATGAATATTTAAGGTGATAGATATGCTAATTATTCTAATTAGGTCATGTCACAATGTATGCAAGTATAGAAAGTCCACAGCATACTCTACAATTACATGCAGTGATCATTTGTCAATAAAAAATAAAAACAAAATAAAATATGATTGAATAAAAATAAACCTCTTTTTGAAATTTTAAAATGAAAGAATTTGTACATGTAACAGAAATTATTTTAAACACCCAGATTCCTTTCCATCTTGGAGCTCTGGTTTGCAAAAAGCATTTTTTTGGAAGTAGTGAAAATATTGTTTCTCCCAGACAACACAGAAGTAAGCATTTAGTTCTCATCATGTAGATTCAAAAACCAAAATTAACATTTACTTTCCCTAATGACTTCTCACTTCCAGCCATATGTTTTTTCTCTTACATCTCCCTGTCTTTTAGCTAACTCATAAAATAAAATTACCTCATATTGTTTTCAAGATGATAAAAATAATCTTATCTAATCATGATTTACATCTTTATATTGCTTTCTGTTGGAGCAGAGAAGAAAGACGCATTTCCTAAAGCCAATTAAAAGTACTCCCCTTCCCACACAAGAAAGGGAGATTAATAATTATATGAGCATATTCATATTGTTTAAAAGAATATTAAATTGTTTGCCATTATGTAGGGGTTGTATTTTGCTTGTGAGAAGGACAGCAACCAATAAAACTGTTTAATTTTACATCAAGGATAAGAATATAAAACAATTTAATATTCTCAGTTTTGAAAAATATGAATGGCATGTTAATATACTTATTAAAAGAGAGGGAAAAAGTGAAAATAAGAAGAAGAAAGGGGAGACATGAGTGCATAAAGAAATAAGAAAGGGGCTGGAGAGGTGGCTCAGCGGTTAAGAACACTGATTGTTCTTGAAGAAGAATCGGGTTCGAATCCCAGAACCCACATGGCAGCTAACAACTGTCCGTTACTCCAGTTCCAGGGGATCCAACAACCTCTTCTGTCCTCCTCGGACATTGCATGACACAGGTGCACTTACTTACATGCAGACATAACACTCATACACATAAAATAAAAATAATAAAATATTTTTAAAAAAGAAATAAGAAAGAATAGAACAATAAAAAAGAAAGTTCCCAGCGACAGAGCAAGGGGCAAAGACGCACAGGGAAAACCAGACAAGAAAAAAAGAGAAGCGGGGAGGAGAGAGGATGAGCAGTGCCCAGGGCAGTCTGGCAGGTTAGGAGAAGCTGCAGTTGCTGTCACAGTACAACAGAAGGACAAACTTGGAGGTGGTGGTAGTCCCAGAATAGCATCACCCCAACAGACAAGCAGAAGACAGAGCAGCAGGCCAAAGACTTCCTAGAGTGCTCAAATACACTTTGTTTTGTTTTGTTGCTTTTTGTTTTTGAGATAGGATCTTTTTACATAGCCCAGGCTGGTCTCAAACTCAAGCTCAAACTGGTGATCCTCCTGCCTCAGCCTCCCAAGTGCTGGGATTATAGGCCTGTGCTACCACACCCAGTGACAGAAACCGCTTCTTCTGAGATTAGTTTATTTGGGAGTTAACTTTTTTTTTTTTCATTTAAAAGTTTTCTTTTACAATTAAAGTTACAGTTTTAACAATATGCAAAATATTACAGTAATTCAGATTTTTTGGCATAATGATTACAGATTTGATAAATACATTTTATATCTCATAATAGCGATGAGGATTATACAAAAGCTATTAAAACAATTATGAGAATAAATTCTATTGTCACTTAAATATCTAAAGCTATTTTCCTTTAAGACTTCAAGAAATTCCACAGAAGGGAATTTTGGAAACCTTTCATAAAATGACTGGCCCTACAGAGAACTCAGGGTGGCTTGGGTCTGGTTAACAGAGGCTCCATTCTTGCATGACATTATCTGACTAACACTCAATGAGAGATGAGCATCAGATACATGCCAGATGTAGCACAACTATTACAATGATAATAGAAGTTATCGGTGGAGAGCTTGACACACGGAGGCACTTTCCACACATTATGTCCTTAATCTTCACAATAGTTGCTGTAAGATAATTATTGTCCTTATACTGTCTTCATCTTAGAGTTGAGAAAGCTTGGACTCAGAGAAGGCAACTGATCATCACTAAGTACCTTTTTAAATATGCCATGACTACAATTCTCAAGAGCTGGCCATATGTTATTGATAGCACACAGGATTATTTTTATTGAGCATGCTATCAAACCTGCTTCGATTATATTAATTTGTATTACCTTAGAAAAACAGTATTTTTCACTGTTTCCCAAAATAATCCTTCATGAATATCAGTGTTTCAAAATGAAAAGGAATCTGAGTATTCTAAATAATTTCTGTTACATACACAAATTCTTTCATTTTAAAATTTCAAAAATAGATTCATTTGTATTCAATGGTATTTTGTTTTGTTTTTATTTTTGATTGCCAACTCAAAAGATATCTTTACTATATATTAAAATGTTTGTTTATGATAACTGTGTACATATTTTTAAGTATTGGGGTCAAAAATTGTCAGTTGATTTAAAGAAATCTATTAAACAGATGAGTTGGCACTATATAATAAATTTCAAGAATACAGAACATGCATACTGAAATTTGGAAAGCACTATGCAGTTCCATGTGTGTCTAAGGGTACCAGCATGAAAATCCATGAGGGAACAGAAGTCCTCAGAGTGGTGTGGCATGTATTTTCAATAAGTGGTGCGCGTGTGCGTGTGTGTGTGTGTGCCTGTGTCTGTGTGCGTCTGTGTGTGTCTGTGTGTATGGGAGGGCATTGTGATGGGGTGGTGGATGGCAATGGTTTTGAGAAAAGGCAAACCTCTCCCTGGCCCAGCTTTGACTGATATTGGTCATGTCAGACTATAGGCTGTTTGGAAAATTTCACCTAATTTGAAAAATGCCAAGAGACTTTCCAGAATGAAATCCTATCTGTAATTATCAAGGCCATTGGAAAACCAGATGCTGGCATCTGCCTGCCAACTAGGACTCTGGACAGCCCAGGAACTACCACACCTTTCTTTCCACAAAATACCAGCCAGAAAGTGTAATGCTGAGGCAAAGAAGAGCCAACGGCTGTGCTGAAGCAGGGATTGTGTGAAAAGTCACGGGAAAAATGCAGAACAAAGCCAGCAGCAGGACTAAGGCAAGTGGACATCAGGCTTACATGTTTTCACTAAGCCAGTCAGAGCATCACTGAAGCCTGCAGCCTGGGAGGCAAATATCTTCACATTGTAGTCCATTCCGCTGAGGAGGTTTGTGATAACAATGGTGTTAACATCAGTACCCACAAAAGTTTCCAGTGTTGGGCCAGGAACTAAAGGAAAAGGAGTAAATATTACAGTCACAACAAAATTTGGAAAATTCAAGTGTTCATGAACAAATTGTACTCAGTCAACTCTCTGTAGTTGCCCAGGATTACCAGTAAGCAAACAACTGGACTGGAGTTAGGACCTAGTCTAATCTGTCTCCAAAACCTATACCTAGTCCTTTTCCTAGCTTAGTTTTCTTTCCCTATGCTTAGTCAAAAAGTTCGTGAATCTCACAGTCTACCCACCACCATTTTGTGAGCTGTAACTAGCAATTAGCACTTGTCAAGTTGAAGAGATAATTCCCAATTGCCTGTTCTCAGATAACTAACTTTGTCCCCACTATACATGTGCATATATACATGTGTGTGTATGTATGTATATATACTCCTAATCCTACTATGTCTACCCGTTATATCTCTATCTACTCCTAAACCTTTGATCAGCTGGATTTCAAAGCCTTTGTGCCTTTGACTGTATTCAACCTGTTGAGGTGTTGAGTATTAATAGCATTCCTTGTTCAGATCTATTCAAACTCGTTTATCAGCTATCTCTTCCCATATGTGACTGCTCTTTAAGAGCTTTGAGTTAGTAATAAATTTCTACAATATTCATCATTTCCCTCTAGAAACCTCCTTTGAACAATATATGAATCTCTTTCTGAAGGTATGAGTTGTCTCAGTTGCTACTTTCCTATGCCCCAAACATACAGTGCAAATGACCACATAGACTTGTCTCATCAGGATTATAAGATTCCCAATACCAGGGCTGGAGAGATGGCTCAACAGTTAAGAGCACTGACTGCTCTCACAGAGGATGCAGGCTCGGTTCCCAGCATCCACATGGCAGCTAACAACCATCTGTAACTCCAGTTCTAGAGGATCTTTTCTGAACTCCTCGAGCATTGCATGACACAGGTGCACTTACACTCATGCAGGCAATACACTCATACACATAAAAAAATAATATGTAAAATATTTAAGAAAGATTCCTGATACCAATACTATTGACAACCTGGACACTGAAGAACAATAATTCTGAGGCAGAGGGTACTGTAAATTGAAAGATATTCAGCAGTATCTACTAGGTGCAAAACCCCATTTCCCCAGCTGTGCCAATCAAAAATATCTCTACTAAGGCAAATCCCACCAGTTAAAACTATACACCTAAAACAAAGAAAGCTGTTTGTACTCAGAGAACATGACAAATATTTTTGAAAGACTCCAAGAATATGTTGTATAAAGATGTCCAGCAAATTAGTACATTCTTTGGGCTGTAGCAAATAGACAAAAGAAAAAAAATAGTGATGGGTCCAAAGGAGTCTATTCTGTTTTATTTTTATGGGCTGTAAAGATATTTTTCTGGAGAAGAAACTGGAGGTGGAGCTGCTATAGTCACATGGCTTGATGACATAGCACCTGGATAACTGGGCACAACAGAAAGACTGGAACTGGATTCGACAGGAAGAGCTGCTCAGATGACAGACTGAGACTAACGGAGTATTTGAGGCCAGAAAGCAGCTTTATATGGCTCCCAAAAGGCTTTAAAATATTTCCTGCAAAATTAAGAAGAATAATTGGAGATGCCCTTTCTGCTGAACAGCCAGAGCTCTGAAGGTCAGGACTAGAAAATGAAAAGATATTTATACACATGTTTTCCTCTTTAAACTCCCTTGAGGCAGTGAAGGGTAGGGAGGCAGTATTGTAATGGGTGCAGGCTCCCAAGCTCCCCTTCCCAGGCACAGGACCCAGGGCATAATCACTCCCTGTTTGAATTATTCACTTGTCTACAAAATAAAATGATGTGAAGGACATGTGTTTGGAAGGGACCTAAGGGATTGGGAGGGGGAGTTTGGGGTGGATATAATCAAGATACATTGCATATATGTATGAGACTGTCAAAAAATAAAGATATTTCAAAAACATGTATATCTATACCTTTATCTAGCATCTATCCATCAAGAATTCAACCTATCTATCCATCAATCCATCTATCTATCTGTATCTATATCCATATCTCTATCTAGCTATCTATATTTATACATATATATGTATGAAATGATGTGAGAGGCAGAAAAGAGATGGTCTCTCATCCAGGTGGTAAAGAGGCTGGTATAAAACAGTTATCCACTTTGATAAGTTTTATACCCAATATAGTTTTCAAAGTGAGAAGTCTGAGAAATTTGTTAGTGGAATTTTCCCAACCTATTCAAGAAGAAGCAGAAGAAAAATTCAAAAGTACAGATGTTAAATTTTTAGAGTTCACACATCAAAGGCATTATAAAGCCCCCTATTCCTCTTGAGTCCAGTTTTCCTGGGGCTGATTCCACTTCTGGGGTGAGATTAGGTCAGGCAGACACACATCAAAGAGATAGTCTATTCTACTCACTGGTATTCACTGGTGTGCCAACTAGTTTTCTACGTGAGGTCACTGTTTCACCCTTCCAATGTCTACCCAGCATGGACCAGACCTGAAAACCTTTCTCCCCCCAAAAGTCAGGAAGCTCTTCTTATTAGATCCAGCACTGATAGAAATCGTACAAAAAAATCATCTTAAAATGTACTTGGTCATCAAGATGGCTCACTGTGTAAAGGTGCTTGCTGCCAAACCTGACCACCTAAGTTCAATCACCAGAACTTAAAGAACTTGGGGAAAGAAGAAAACTGATTCCTGAAAGTTGCCCTCTTTCACTTCCGTGCTGCGGCACACGTGCACACACACGCATATACATATATGCACGCATACACACACTTAAAATTAATTTTAAAAATTTAGTTTAAAATGTAACTGTACTTGGGATGCCTGCTCACAGTCCTGAGCAGCACTTACCACTGACGGGTCTGTAGACGATCCTATAGCCCTTCACGGGGGCAGATGGGGGATCCCATGTAATGCGCAACCGATTATACCATTCTTCTGAGACTCTTAAGTTTTGAGGACTAGAGGATGGCACTGTGCAGGACAGAAGAGGGAAAAGAGAGATTCAATGCCATTTCCTTCTTGGTGACTGTCCCTTGTTGTCAGTGAAATCTAAGTCATATCCCTACAGAGTTAAAAACATTTCCAAGTCAAAATGCAATATAACAGCGACGAACATTTGAAAACCTGTATTTTTTTAACTCCATATGTGGAAAATTGGTCTTATGATGAAAGAGCTTTATCTGAATCCATAGGCTCACTCAAAGTATGGTGGTTCCTTGTCCTTCAGTTAATTTTAAGTAAAATCAAAGTAAGCAGTGATTATTCAAAATCTATTATTACCATGTTCAATGTATCAAAATGCGTGTGTCCAGTCACATGCTGTGCACATGATGCTCCTGATGATTATCCTTGGGGGATATGATCTGATAACTTCTTGCTTTCTTCTTCATATAGCCTGACTATTGTTTGAAGCTTTGTATTGTGTCTTATCAATCCTTACACATTAAAGTTACATGGAACCTTTAACGTCTTTTATGCATACATCAGATATTATCAGAGACTATTATTTCTGATAATATTATTATCTGGTGACAGCTGTCAATGTTATTCATAGGATTTAGTTGTGCTGGCCACTTTAAAATAAGAAGACTATCCACTAATACTTCAAGGTTTTACTATGCAAAGATTGTATCATATTGTGATAATGAGATTTAAGTCAGAGTGCTATAATAACAGTTTGTGTTAGATAAATATTGCTTGATCTTTGATCATTGTTCAAGTCTATGAGCTTCCAACATTTACTTAGCAGAAAAATGCCAAAAATTGGCCACAAATTACAATGTACTAGATCAAATGCTAGTTTACAATGGCGTCTTGATATATGCAATGTGTCCCCTACATGTAATGATCTAATGCCCGAGATCAACTATGATGACAATTCACTGGTGAAGTGACCAACTGCAAACCCCACTCCAGCTTTCCTCTTCTTCCTGCCTTTTCCTCTTCCATGTGGACCCTGAGGAGATAACTATAGTGACTGAGGGATTACAAGGTCTTTGACAAGATATGCAGGCCTGGGAATCAGGGTAGAGTCACATGTAGCATGGGCACAGGGAGGAGGGACAGATGCCAGCATTGTGAAGCGAAAAGATAACACTTATTTACTCAGCTGAGCATATTCGGGACTCTGGTCTGACCTTTATTGACTTGCAAACACTTAGATGAAGGGCAAGGTGCAGAATTTAGTCACTGGCACCATTCTGAACCTGAGCCCATTCAACTATTTGGCAATTATGATGAATTACAATAGCAATAGATTTTTGGCCCCTCCTTCCATTGAGAATTGGGAGCCACAACTCTGTTTGAATCTGGGTGGATTCTCTGACTACACTGACTGCAGACTACAGCGGGAATGGCATTGCACTACTCATCCCAAGGCCAGGACTGGCCTGGAAGCTTCCACTCTGCCTCTTGCAAATCTTCCTTTCATTGTGTTGGATCATCATGTAAAGACATGAAGAGGCTGTAAGAGTAGGAGAGAGACCTAGCTGAGCCTTGTAGCTGTTCCCACCAAGATGCCAGGCATGTAGCAAAACTGACTTAGATCTTCTAGACCAAACCAGTCACAAGTGAATAGTGATGAGTTATGATCATTTATACCACATGGAGCAGAAGAATTTTCCAACAAACTCTGCCTGATTCCCTGATCCAAAAAACCAGAGAATATAATAAAATAGTCATTGCTTTAAATCACTAAATTCAAGTGTAGTCTTTATGTAAAAATAGGTGGTAATAACAGCAAAGAAACAGTTAAAAAAAAAAAAAGAAACAGGTAAGACTTTGGTGTATATGCTCCACATTTGATAATTATGGCCAATGCATGTTAAATATTTCAGGACGCCTCCTCTGGACCACACAGTGCTGTTGGAGCCTGGCATGTACAAAGAAAGTGTTTAGATGTTCTACCATGGATTGGAACCTTTGAAACTGTGAACCAAAATGAAACCTCCTTCTTTTTAAGTTGATTATCTCAGTGTGTCACAATAGCAGGCTGACTGATGAAGCAACAGAGGTTGGCAGGGGTTAGGTATATGAGCACATGGTACTGCAAAGGGTGTTGCTAACATGAAAACGTTTTAGCAGTGACAAAACTGCTTTGTATTTTTATTGTGGTGATGGTGGCTACATGAGCCCATATATGTGTTAAAATCATAGAACTGTATTAGAAAGAAGACACTGTATCATACACATATTTTACAATAAAATTATGGTTGCAAAAGGAAAACAGCAAAAGCAATAAGATACCATAGAGTGAGGCTTGGATTGCTGTCACCTCATGAGAGGTGGAGAGGGCACTCAGACATGCACACTCCACCTCGGTGAAACATCAGAGCTTGAATCAGGTGCCGCCGGAACAGAAAGATTCATTGTGTTTGAAGTCTTAGCTTTCACAGAATTCCAAGATTGTCTGTTCCTAATCTGTTGCCTTCTGCATTGCCCTCTACTTGCCCTAGTCTACATTATACTCTCCTGCACACTTCAGGGTGCATGGCACCACAGGTCAGGAAGTGTTGGAGGGAAGATTCACTTACAGGTTCTTCCAGGGGCGGAAACACTGACACCTTCTCCATCAGTATAAACTGGGGTCACCGTGACTTTGTATTCAGTATCTGGAATCAGAGACTTCAGAAGGAGACTGTTTTGCCTTCCAGGTACCATAATCTGAACAAAAAAAAATCAAAGGATCGTACTCCTGGTAAGACCTCCATCCCCGTGGGCCTACTAAAGAAGCATAACTATGGACATTTTGAAATCATCAGAAATGAAATATGCTTTGAGAGTGATAAGAAAAGAAATGGCATCCATGCAAAAGCTTTTCTCCCTGGTGCGCCCCTCACAGCAACCCTTAGCAACCCTTAGTCACCAAGATAGAAGGGTTAAATACAAAGCTCTTAGGTTACAAGAAATCCCCTCCCCACAACATCTTCTTGACATTTGTAAAGTATGGAGAAGACAGAATGACGGTTTGTTTGGCCAGCAGGCATTTATGGTTCAAAGTACTCATTCTACAACTGGGAGTACTGCTTATCTGGTTGATCTGAGTTTAGCATCCTCTTGCAAATTCAGCCTCCCCTGCTTTCCTTCCTCAGCGATAACATGACTCCCGCATTTTATTCTTTCAATTAGAAAGGATGGATGCCAGCCAACAATAACAGAATCATGCCCTGCAAGCCAAGTTTTCTGAGTTGAAAGATATTTAGCAGCAACACTAAAAAATGCTGCAGCTTTCTTATTTCTGAAAGGACACATCTTTCTCCATCTGGAATTTCGCACTGTCACTAAAGCATCCAGAAAAAGAAATGCAGAAGTGAGGGGAAACCCCAAACAGGCTGTGTGCAATGTGCCACGTGGCATGCAAGGCAAACCCTGGTGTTCCTAAGAGAACACTCTAGACCAGAGATAAACCACTTGCTCACCATGCTGAAACCACCAAACGCTGTGGCTATGCTCCAACAGTTAAATGCTGGCACTCTCTAAGCTGTTGGGAACTTAATCACCATTAGAAAAATGTTAGGATATAGGAACTGACCCAAGTGGGCTTAAAAGAGTCACAAGGCCAGGAAAAAAAGGAGAGGTTTCCATTCCAGGGCTGGGTGAGATGCCAGAAGGCCGAGGCGGTGCTGTCTCCTTCTGGGTGAAGGAAGGAACCCATCAGTCATGTAACCAGCTCTAGAAAGCCTTCTGGTGACCCCAGAAGCAGCTGTTGCTATGATTCTGCTAAGCTCTATATGAGCAAGGAAGTCTGAATTAGGTGACTTTGTATTAGATGACCTAGTTCTGCTCATTGTTAAGACAAAACACTGAAATGTACAGGTTGCATTGTGTGGAGTCCTGGGAAGGAGTTCTAAAACAGCAGCCCTGTTTTAATCTATAAAGCGTTAGATGACCCTGGCACGAAGGACTTATGAAAAGCTGTGGTTGCCCTGACTTGTACTGCCCCATCAGGGCAGCTTCCTTCAGGGTGTTTCTCTTAAACGGAGCTCTGGAGCAGAGCCCAGGCTTTCATTCCAAGCTGTCTGTCTAGCAAACCACCCATGTAGACGCTCCTTAAATAAGGTCAGATCTCACACTGAGAAGCACGTGACTTTGTAGCTGATCAAATTTAGCTTGCAGAATATCATAAAGCAGTGTGACCACTTGGCGGGGGGCCGGGGGGGATGTCCTGCTGCTTGACAGAAAATAGTTGTTGTGGTTTATAGCAGCAGCCCTTTTTATGCACCAAATATCATGTGCCAGGTACCACTTGAAGACTTTGAATCCAGCGGTTCACTTCATCATCATCATCATCACATTTTGAGGTAAGGGGTATCACACACTCATTTTTCAGATGGTGAAACAGACTCACACAGTTCAGTACAGTGGCCATACCGAAAGGCAGGAATCTGCTATAGGTTTTGCTTAATGTTTGCATAGAAGTATACAGTACAAACCTTTTTTTAACATTAATGATATTCATTCCCCAAAGTAAAAGCATATATACATATATATAATGTTCCTACTTAGAGCAAATGCTGAGGGTCACAGCAGATTATGGCTTTTATTTCTAAGAAAATTTGTGGTTAAATGGGATGCAAAGGCCACCAGTGAGTTTCATGTTTTTAATTCTTTCAGACAAACAACTTTTTGTCTAGCTTTACCATCACCCAAAGCTTTTCAGAGCATCCTGGAAACAAGTTGGTACCTGTGGTAGGAAGTGGATTTCCTGCATCTCACTGTTTTCCTCTCTCACAAAATTCTGTTCTTACACAGTTGTTCTTGTGAAGAAAGATCAGGCAGTGTTGGTGTCCTTGTTTTAATTCCAATACACTGCAGACCAGCATTTGTATAAAATACAATAAGGACAAAATACTAGAAAAGTGATTACACTCTTAGATTATTGCAGAAATATCATGTCAGTGTTTTCAAAACCTTAATCTTAATATCTAAACTTATCGCGTAGGAGGCTCAGGTATGCTTTAAGGAGCCTCACTCTAGAAAAGTCTTCACAAGTCAGAATTCATGTTATGGTTAACAGGATACAGTGTGTCTAGACTCCCAACCAGCTTCTTACAGTAAGAGCGATATCTCTATCCCGACAAGAAAACTGAGATCAGAGTCATTGTCACCCTTGTCTTTTAAAGCAGAGTGAAAGTCAGACCTTATGAAATATTTGATAGTGAGTTTTATATGTAAGAGTTCAAATATTTTTTCTATACACTATTTGGTAGATTTGATTATGCCTAAAAAGTACATGAGTAATTTGTATATCTTAACTAGCAAATTTATTTTCTTTTGTTTTCTCTCAGTTTCCAATGTTGTACATGCACACTATTCTCCAGGCTTAGTACTGTCTTATCCTTTCCTCAAACAAATGCAGTCAGCTTTAGGGGTTAAAGAAAATCTAGAAAAATAGTCAGAGAAGTATGTCTAATTATCAGGACACACATCCTTGTCTGTTTTAGAGTATGTTTTAGTCATCTATCTGTCCTTGGGAGGCATAATTATTTTGTGTGTTGTATGTGTGCACATATATATGTATGGATGCACATGCATGTGTGCACATGTGCATGGTGAGGCCAGAGGACAATTTTGAGTGTCATTCCTCGAGTACCATCCATATTTTTTTAGACAGGGTCTCTCCTTGGCTTGTTATTTATTTAGCAGGTTAGGGGGGATAGCCAGCAGTCCCCAGAGATCTCCCCATCGCTCGCTGCCTCTCCAGGGCTGGGATTTCAAATGCATCACCATGATGCATGAATTCTTTTAACATGAGTTCCGGGGGTATATCCCAGGACCTCGTGCTAGCAAGGCAGGTGCTTTATTGACTTAACTATCTTCCCAGCCCAGGCATCAGTATTACAAGTTATTGTTTGGTCCACATGATTTCAAGAAGTTTGGACTTTGTCATTGGCCTACATCTGACTGTCCTACCTTAGTTTCATAATCGAAACTTAGATGCATCTTACTTTCTATCTCCAATAATAATGTGGAATGGAGAGATGGCTTATCAAGCAAGAGCACTTGCTGATAGAGCATGAGGAGCTGACTTCAGATCTTCAGAGCCCACAAAAAAAAAACTAGACATAGCTGCATGTGCCTGGAATCCCAGCACTACAGGGTGGAGACAGATCTTGGAGGCTTGCTGGCCAGTCAATCTAATGAAGCCAAATGGCCAGCTGCAGGTTCATTGAGAGATTCTATCTTAAAAATAAGGTGGAGGATGGTAGAGGAAGATACTAGAAGTCACCGTCTGGTCTCCAAAGGAGCACACACGGGCATACACACATATACTATGTAACACAAAAAAGTAATTGGCTGATTAACTAAAGAAAAAAACAATGCGTCACTACATTTGTGTATCACTAGTATTTGATAAAATACAACTATAAATTCTCAATCCTCAGGTGGGTCTTTAAAAATTAACCGAGTACCTATAAATTACATGGACAAATCTAATTAAAATTCACTAAAGGAGTTTGGTATTTAAAGAACTCCAAAATGCTTTCTTTTATATTGAAAAAATAAAAATAAAAACTTTGCCACAGAGCAAATTTATCAATATTTTTCACTTTCTTTAAAAGTTTGTTTAGCTGGGACTGACTAAGACTGTCCAAGTGCTTCAAACATAAACAGTGTTCAACAAAAGAAACACCAAAGGGAACCATGATCTAGAAACAACCCAAAGTAAACATTATTTTACTTTGCAGAGTTTACAAGTGCACGTGTGAGATTAAACTGTTATTCTTTCCAAATTAACAGGAATTAGCACCAGGAAGCTTAATGTGTTTCTTGGAAACAAAGGGAGAAGCTCCATATGCTGGGAAGTTTCTACACGTCTTATTTTTAGGCATCGGGGTACAATAGGGTCATAATAGAGAAAATAAAGGCCACAAATTACACCTCCACCTGGCGTGCCTAGGCATCCCTCTAATTTTTAAAACTTGCCAATCATGAATCACTTGGAATGTACTGTCAGAATGAATTTATAGTTCAACCTGTTTCATTTAAGTGTCCACAAACTTTGCCAAGTATCCCCATATCAATTTCAGGAACCTACTGGCTTTTCACAATATATAAGGCTCCTGTTGAAGCCATCACTGTGTCCTGTAATTTTCCCTCCAGCATCTGGAAATGAAGGACCTTCCTGAAAGGACTTTGGGCTCAAACAACTGATTGCCATCAAAGGCTTACACATAAGGGGAAAACAAACAAAACAACAACAAAATCAATGTTACTCTCTTATTCCTGAGTAATGATGAATTTCAGAGAATTCTTCCCTAGAGTATTAAAAATAATGGAGCAAAAGTCAAAAAATGCAATAATGAAGCTATAAACAGAGCATTAACTATGCCTAAGAAGTTAAGTACCTTCTGACTAAAGCCTTGAACTAAGTGCTCTGCTTTCACCGGACATGTACATAAGAAACCATTTCAGGTTCTAGACTAAAAAGGACGATATGGCATAAATTAAGAAAACATGGGGAGACCATGATTAAGAGTGTGTCAGGTTTACCACGTAGAAATGTTGGGAAAACAGCTTTAAAAAACACCACAAATCCCTGAGAAGAGATACCCATGATTAAAAATAAATGAGAAATTGTTATAAATATGCTCAAAATGAGCTGATGTCAGAGAAAAATATGTTTTTCAGTGCTTGATGCATTGTTAGGAACACCTCAGCTATACAAGCAAGACCTTTCTTGTATGCTTTGCTTAAAAAGCTTTTTGGTAGATTTCCAAGGGCAAAAAGTTTAATACCTGCCTTAAACTTTTATATATGTTCTTGCATACATTTATACAATAAAAGTGTCTAATGGTTCTCTGTTTTCTCTTGTCTTCATTTGGTTGGGTTAGGTTGGTTTAGTTTTGAGACTGATGGGGTCTAGCTATGTTTACAGGGCTGGGCTCAGACTCCTGGGCTCAACTGATCATCTTGCATCAGCTTCTCTAGAAATAGAGCTATAGGCACACGCCACCATGCCTGGCCAAATGACCCTTTTATAGCCCTATTTGGGTGCTCTAGGAAATGGGCAAGGCAGAAGTAACGCTAGAAGCAAGATACAGATACTTGATTAGCATGAAACTGTGTGGAGCAGGCTTTAGACTTGAAAAGCCTGGAAGAAACCAACAGCGAAGTCTGGTTTGAACAAGAACATTAGTTTCTGGAGACAATAGAATCAGCAAGCAAGAAAGCTCTCATCTCCGCAGACAGCCTCGTTAGCCCTGCCAGCAAAGGCTGTGGAATTCTGGTCAGCTGTAGTTATACAGACCGTTCCTACCACTTCTTCCGTAGGGTCCCCTTGGGCTGTCAGGTAGGTCACCCTAAACTGCTCCACATTGCTGTCAGAAATGTCCCATGTTACCCGGAGGCTAGAAGAAGTTTCATCATCTACGACCAAGTTTCTGATTCCTGTCTGGAAAACTGGAACAAATACAACCAAAGATTAAAGAACTTGTTGCCCATTGTAGTACAAACAAGATACAGATATTATCAGTAACGAGAATCACCCAGTGTAACTGTGATACAGATCATGTGAAGCGGAAGCTCCACATTTATGGATAACAGGGCCCAGAAACCTATTGGCTGCAAACAAAAAAATGGGCTTAAGAGATGCATCCAGTAGTAGACCAAGGACTCTTCCCACCTATCTGCCCATTTATATGCTATTAAGTAGAACTGAAGGAAAGCTATTGAACTAAACTCAGCCCATGAGCTCAAAGAGAGCATGGTCCTCATACTAATAATCTGTTAGAGAAGAAGGCATGGGGGACCAGACCTCATCATCCTCCCTGTGTAATGCAGCATCTGACACATATCTACTCACCTGCCCCCAGGCCTATTTTAACACTAGTCACTCAAATACAACTTCCTGACTCAGGCTGTCTTTATCTGTTCAGCCCACACATGTTATCTTTTCTGGAATATTTGCCCACATTTCTTCACCTGTGTTCCCTAGAACATTCATCCACATCTGTGAAGGTTTCTCCTCCCTTTTTTCCTTCTCCCTTTCACTCTGAATTCTTCTCCTTCTGTCCATCTTGACTGTAAATCTTTCCCTCCCTCCATCCATCTAGCCATCTACCCACCCATCCATCCATTCATTCATTCATTTAGAAAACATTCATTGAATTCTTCCTGTGTGTCAGACTGTGTTAGGTCTTTGACGTGTACAGTGATTACATCTTGACAAAAATAGTAAAGATGTCAGACAGCAGCCAGGATATTTAACTGGTATAGTTGGTGGGGGGAGACTACCAGTGTTTGATTCCCAGCACCAGTTCAAGGAATACAATGTCAGATGGTGTGCACTTACATACATGCACATTTAAAAAATTCAAAGTAAAGAGCTTAATGGTGAGATGATGAACTAGAATACTGGACGGAGCTTAGTGGAAGAGAAAATATAAAGTTACAGAGTTGGTGAAATACAAACTGCGCCAAAAAGCAAGGAAATAACATCACTTTTTAAATTAATGGTATAAACGAAATAAAATTATGAAACATAACTTCTCTTTAAATGAAACATTTTATGGAGAAATAGGCTCCTCTGTGCCCTTACCTGAAGTCACAGGTCTAGTAGGTTCTACAGTTGTGGGTGTTTCTGTCCAAAAACTGTCAACTGAAAAGAAAATTCATCACTTAAAAATTGTATAGACAATAACTCCATAGATTTTCATAAATTATTGTATAACGTCTGAAAGAAATTACACATGTTGTCTTATTTTTTTCCAACAAACTTGACTATGACTTGGAAAAAAGAAAAAGTGAGATGGATGGCAGGCAAATCTTTTTCCACAGGAAACAAACTGAGCTACAAGGAAATTAATTTCTCATCACAGATAATAGACTTCACACAAAGCCTTGAGATACAGCTACAAAATTATGAAACCTCTCAATTATTTTTTAAATGGGAGTATAGCCATGATAATTAAATGAGATTAAATTGCAGCACAAGTTGTGAAATTTTACCAAATAAGACCACCAAAGAGGGTAATGTGCTCAGGCAAAATGTGGGTCTTCTGTCTTGAGTCTATTCCTGGGTGCATGGTGCAACGGAGTGACTGTGGTACTCTCTGTATCCAACTGCAGACCTACACACCCAGCCAACAGGTGCTCAAGCACTGGATGCCCATGTCTTGAGTTGCTCCTAAAAGGTTTCAGCCTCTTTAATGGGTAGTCCCTCCCCACCAACTGGGGATACAGAGGTGCACAACTTCGGCCCCTTTGCCTCACTGTAACACAATTGAGAAGGGTTTTCCCAGCTCTGGGGCTTCTAACAGGATTAGCTGAGGATTGTTGCAGACTTGCCTTGTACACAATCATGCTCTCTTCAATTTATAACATAACATAAGGGCCTCCCGACTGCAACTTCAAAAACCTTCTGAATGCAATTTTCTGTCTTAAGAATTTGATTCTAGGGAATGCAGTTAAGAGAATATGATATGTAGTTAATATCCCATTTTTAAAAGAAGGGATAAACAATCAGTGAAGAAATTTTGGAAAAGAAATCTTGGGACCAAAAACAAGTTAGAAAACTCTAAAAACTCTTGGACACATTATGGCCTGGCATGGTGGCCAGTTTGATGCTTTATAAATGATTATATCCATCCATTTATCCATACATCCATTTATCTATCCACTTATGAACTCAATGAATATTCATGGTGCAATTAAGATGTGCCAAACACTAGGCTCAGTGCCAGAGAATAAAATAATGAACAAGACAGAAATGCTCCCTGCCTTCATGGTGATAACACTCTAAACACTAAGGGGCTCCACACATCAATGTTACTGACTGAGAAGACTTAGGAAGAATTCCAGAGCGACAAAGAAAAGTGGACGCCTCCATAACAGAGCGTAAGGCTGATGTAACTGGGAACCTGCTGGGGAAGACAGCATGGTTGTGGATGGTGGATGCAGGAATTCAACGTGGCCAGAACAGGACTTACGTGTCGTCCCAACAGCAGTCACCACCTCACTCTCACTTCCATCATCAAGTACAGCCAACAGTGAAACTTCATATTCAGTGCCAGGCTCCAGGCCTTCAATAACATACGAGTCCTGCTCTTCTTTTACGGCAGCCTGAAAAACATTCCGTGCTTACTGCCTACGGTTACTTAAATAAAAGGGTGAAATGAGAGTTAGAAGAGAAGAACTACAAAGGGGAAATTTTCTGTGCATAAGCAAGAAACAGCTAAACATAACACACTACGAGGCTGTTGAAATCAATATTTAAATCTAACTCGAGACTTTATTGGCTTCACAACAAATAATTTAATATTTCAAAAGTGGCATTTTAAAGTTTTATTAGGTATTATTTGTGAAAATCAAGGAATCTGAAACTATATGAGGTACATAAAGCCCTGGTCATGCACATTTTAGTCTTTGAAACATAGTATGAGTTGGTGCTTATGAAATGCCAAATGCCACACCTTGGAAGTTATTACTTACTTCTGGAGTTCTCAAATCTACCATAAAATACTGACAACCCTGGTGCGGCAGTTAGGCAACACTTCCAGAGAACATGCTTTGGGTTAATGCTTAGTCTGGCACAGTTAACTCACCTCTCCCGTCTTCCCACCATAGACTGGGATCCACATCAGCTTGTGCTGCCCTTCCTCAGCTGAGAGGGGATGCCAGGTAACTCGAAAACTGTCTGTCTTCACCTCATCAATTTCCAAATATTGCTGGGCTGGAACTTCCTCTGTAAATAAGGCAAGAAAGAAAAACTCAGTCAGTTCCCAGGGCCCACAGGAAGGGAGACTGGGATCTTTCCATTTTGGAAAGTCATAGAAGAAGGACAAGCAGCCCCAATCTATCCACTGTGGCTTTACATATCTGTTTCTAGTAACTTCCAACAGAATAAACTAGGGAAACCACAAAAATAAATGGATTTTAAAACTTTTCCAGTAACTCCAGAACTCTTGAATTGTTTATATTGCATTATTCTTCATCAAGTATTTAAAAAATGAGGCTGAGACAATAGCTCAGTCATAAACTGCTTGCCTCAAAAACACGGGGACATAAGTTTAATCCCCAGAACTCACATAAAAATTCTAGGTGTGGAAGGCCCTGATTGTAATCCCAGTTCTGGGGAAGCAGAAACAGGAAGATCCCTGGAGTTGGCTGGCCAACTTAGTCTAGCCTAATTGGTGAGCTCCAGACCAATGAGAGACCCTGTCTCAAAGAAGGTTGGTTGGCCTTATTGAGGTTTCCATCCAAAGTTGTCCTCTGGCCTTCATATGCATGCATACATACATACATACATACATACATACATACATACATACACACATACAAAAATACTTTTTTTTTTGGTCTTTTTGAGACAGGGTCTCCCTGTAGCTCCAGCTGTCCTGGAACTCACTATGGAGGCCAGGCTGGCCTTGAGCTCACAGAGATCTGCCTGCCTTTGCCTCCCAGGTGCTGGGATTAAAGGTGTGCACCAGCACGCCTGGCAAAAATACATTTTTTTAAAACTAAAAATGTCATGTTAATTATTTTGCAAAGATATTACAAAATACATTCCTGGTATTTTGAGGAGATTAGCTAAAGAGTACCTCAAAGCCTGGAGAAATGCTCCCTTTTAGCTCTCTACATTTTGGTGGTTATATCACTCCCAGGCAATGAATCCAGGTCTGAGGAAGAAACTTCATCTTTTTTATGTGAATGTGTTGACAGGCCGGAAATGAAATATCATTCATCATGCATTCCACTGTCTCACAGCATACACACTTTGGGGATTTACTTTAGAAAGCATAATCCCCAAATATACCCAAAATAAATCTTCAAGTCATTGATTTTTATTTGAAATCAGGGATTTAAAAGTTCTGATAAGACACCATTAAAAAATCCAAGTAGAGTTCCCCGAAGGAGATTTTGTTTAATTATTGTTTCCTGTAAGCATTATCTCTCCATCCAGATTTGTTTAATTTTTCTCCAAGTTACCTTCTTATGTACTTGGTTTAGAAATAAATATGTTTCCAAGTGCAATCAATAAATTCAGAAGGAAAACAGGCTGGGTGTGGTGACACATGCTTTTACCCAGCACTTGGGAGGCAGAGGCAGGTGGATCTCTGTGAGAAGGAGAAGGAGGAGGAGGAAAGATGTCAGCTCCTCTCAACATGATCTGTAGATTCAAAGCAGCTCTGATCAAACTCTTAAAAGTAAGTTATTTCTTAGATAGTGACAAACTACAGAGACATAATACAGAAGGAGAAGGAGGAAGGGGAGGAGGAGGAGGAGAAAGAGGAGGAGGAGGAGAAGGAAGAGGAGGAAGAGGTGGAGGAGAAGGAGGAGGAGGAGAAGGAGGAGGAAAAGGAGGAGGAGGAGAAGGAGGAGAAGGAGGAGGAGAAGGAGGAGGAGGGGGAGGAGAAGGAGGGGAGGAGGAGGAGGAGAAGGAGGAGGAGAGGGAGGAGAAGGAGGGGGAGGAGGAGAAGAAGAAGACAACAGCATAATTATTGCCACCATGAAGCAAAAAACATTCTCTGTTTATTGGGAAACTATAGAGTATAGTGGAAGATAAAATATTCATGTGTCCTATTTAATTTGAATCATTCTTTGCTGTTGTAACAGCCCCATAAATTTAACTGGTCAAGGCTATAAAATCTAGTCTGTTAAAAGACCCACTTTTCCAGTTTCACTGGTCAATCATCTGGTCATAGGACCACCCGTAGGAAGGCGGGCTCACCTTATGTTATCCTAAATAGATAGGCAGAATACCTGGTGCATTAATAAGATAGAGAATTTTTCCTGCCTGGAATCCCGCCTCCTAGTGCAGGACTTCTGGACCAGCCACAGTCATATAGACTGTAAGTCTGCCCACTTTTCTGAAGAATTCACAAAAGCTTAATCTTTCTTTTTCTTCTCCATAAACTTTTCCAAACCTGCTTTCTTTAAGGCTTTGGGCTGCCCCTAGCATCTTGTATTTCTGTACTTTCTCTAAAGCTTCCTTCTCCCAGCCATGCAGCTGCCAGCTAAATAGATTTGGCTGATTTGAACTTTTGAGTCCGAGTGGTTCTTCCCAGTGGTCCTGAACTCGTAACACAGTATTAAGAGTTTTCGGTTCCATTACCATACAGCTATATCATGATATATTTAGTTAAATAGTATTGATTGCCATTTCTGTTGGCCAAAAACTGTTGGGTATCAGCAACTTTAGAGTTCAGCTTAATGTACCCACACACATGAATGGAAGGGGACATAAAAATTTCTACCAAGGAATAAGAAAAAGGAAAAAGGTTAGGAAGACAGCAATGTATGCTTTGTGAATGGTGTTTTTGTGCATTTTTTGTTCTTTGAGAGCTGCATAAATGAATACAACCATATCCACTCTCCCACTCCAACTCCTCCTGGATGCTCCCACATTCCCCTCCCAAATTTATGTCCTTTTTTTTTTTAGTTCACATAGTCCATTAGTGCTGCCCATGTGTGCATGGGTGTGGGGACTTTAACCTTTTGAATTAGATGGCCTTTTCTCTTTTCCTTATTGTTATAGAGAAGAATTAGCCAGTATAAATGCTAGTTATCTAATTATTCATTTGCTAATAATATCTTAAAAATGAATATACACTCTCTCCAAAGTCACATGTGAAGAAGAATCTATTCTAGTTTTGTTAACTGGCACTTTTGAAACCTTTCAAATCAGAATGAGGCTTACCTGTGGTAAAGGCTCCAACCAGGGGCAAGGATTGTCCCTCCTCGTAGATGGAGAAAATGGCAATAGAGTACTCTGTGAGAGGTGTCAAGCCTTTCAGAGGGAACGTAGTGATGGGATCTACTTCAACCTGCAGAAGAGTACCCACAGTGTCTATATCTGATACTCTCCAACTACATGAATCATTTTATTGCTGTCTGTCTGTAGTGTGGCTGGAGGCAGAACTCTAAATGCTACAAAGTTGAACACTGAATTACAAAGCCAGAAGGAATACAAATATACACATTCTAACCTTACTTGGACTGCTTATCAGTTGTTCCTCAGGATAATTTTCAGATGGTACACGAGGTGCATACAACTTATAAGGCTGATGTAAGTATGAACAAAGTTTCTAGCTAGGTCTACTAGGGGCATTCAGCTTTGATTTCACTGCCTGGGCTCTGCTTGCTCCATAGCTGTATCATACATGAAGATCTCTGTAATAACTGCACAGGCAACCAACCATGTAGAGAAACATTAACATTAAAGGAAATATTAAACTTTCAAAATACTTGTCTATCTTTCACAGATACACATTGGGGGAATACATATATACAGGTAAGGGATTATTAAGTCCTGAAGAAAAACAAAAAGGGTATAAAAATAGACCTTGAAGAAAGAGCATAAAGTGAGACAAGATGGGATATGGAAGATGCCTCCCTCTCCAGGCCACCCTGAAGGTAAGACAAGAACTGATAGAGCTTTCTCACTGGGAGGTTGGTGCTGGGATGCCAAGCAGCACAATATGGAGAGAAAATCTTGTGCCACGCCCTGGTGGTTTACATAAGTCTTTAATCCCCATGACAGCATGCCTTAGCTCTGGGGATAGTCTAGAAAATTAAATGAATAACCATATTTACCTGGCATCAGACTTTGCCAAATTAGGGACCACTTAAATATTTCCAAGACACATTTGGAACAATATAAGATTTTTTTATTTGAAATACTGTCTGTGACTAATCCTGATGATATCTGAGGTTAAAAGGAAGGTAAATAACTCCAAGTATTTACTCATGACAGTTGATGTGACTTTTATAGAAATGTAAAAGGCCCCTTCTCCACTTTAATGTTCACGGGCTATATTTATTGGCTTCCAAATCAAACCCAAACATCTCAAGACATCACCCTGACCTTGTATATTCTAGGATACTACCCAGTACTTCCTCTGGCCCTCTGTCTGGTCTCTAGCCATATTAACCTGCCCTGCTCTGACATTTTCCACCTCAAGGTCTTTGTAATGCAATTTGTTTTGTCTTTGACCATATTGCTCAGTTCTTTTCAAAATTAGTCCTCCTCATCTCGCAACTATGCTATGACTTCCATGGAAGGTTTTCACTTTCCACATCTCTCAGTAGGGTTATTCTTAAACACTGCTTTTGCAATTTCCTCCCTGGCACTAGTCACATCTGAACTTACTTTATGTCTTTATGCAATCTGTCTTCTACATATAGTGTGAGCCTCTGGAATTAGGATTTGGTTTAGTTCCCTCACTACTCTGTCTAATTGTCAGATGGTTTGTTGGTTGGGTTTCTTTTTTTCCTGATTGGTTATAATAAGTAGATAAAAATTAAGATGGAACACCTGAAAACCCTTTTTGAAAGAGAAGAAAGGGTTCTTCTAAACTAAGAGCCAGTTCAGAAAACACACTCATCTCTAAAGAATCAACTGTAGACCAAAAGGAAGTACCAGACTGGAGAGAGGATTCTATTTCACTGTTCCGGAACCCTGAGCCACTCTGCAGAAGAGAGACAGCCAACCCCAGCCTTGCAGCCTCCAGATGAGACACCAGGCAGGAGTGAGGTCATCTTGGCAGTCCCTCCCCAGCCGAGCTCCCCAGGGATGCAAGTCACCTCAGCTGACACCACATGGCAAAGACCAGCTGAGCTCTGCCCCATTGCACAATCACAGGCTGCTGTGTTAGGCTGTGTCACTGACACAGCAATAGTCACTGAAAATAAGGATCACCTCCTTTGGGGGATCAGCAGTATTCTAGTTGGTTCTTTGCACTCACTGTTTGGTCCAGCCTGAGCCTCTTCTGCAAACTTTATATGCATTAACTCACTTGATTCTCACCACAATTCTCCAAGGGTGTGTGAATTACTATACTCAATTTGAAGATGTGAAAAATGAGTTAAGGATCTTGCCCCAGAGGAAACAAGCTAGAATCCAGAACTGAAACCCAGCTGTTTCAGACTCCAAGTCCAATTGTCTTCAATTTTTTCCCTTATGCTTTATTACTGAACTGCACAGAGAACATAAATTCATATTTAAAGTATCAATTCAATACATACAATGAATTCAATACACAGTTTTTGAAGCAAAACTATGCCCCTGCATTGCTTTCTGGTGTTATAAGCTGTTTTAGCTAAGTCAGGGGATCAACACATTTTATTCAGAGCTTCTTCCCCTGTCTTCCCACACTTACAATGCTTTCCAAAGGTGTTTCCAAAGGCTTTCCAAAGGAGAGCTTGAGGCCTAAGGACTGTAACTAATTGGTTCAAATCCTTAAAACTATTAGCTAGAATGTCCGTTAGCATTTAACCTTATTTTGAAGTCTCAAATTTGTGACAAATAAGAATTTTGTATAGATATAAAACATATACAAAAACAATTAAAATAATATTTTGGGAGTTCACTCTGAGTCAAAACAGAAAAAAAGCATATAAGTATACAACCATACATTGTATAAATATATAGTGTATGTATCAGTTAAAAAGGGATTTTTCCATTTGCTAAAGTATTTTATTTGACACTGAACAGATGATATTTTGTATGACTTCAGAACTGGTTTATTTCAACAAATAAAAAATAAAATAAAGAGGAATTGTTAACTTGTTCTTTAGCTTATAAAATCAATTCAAAGTTTAGAAATTTTCAACTGTTAAGAAATCTCAGGACTGGGGATGTAGCTTGGTTGGTAGAGTGCTTGCCTAGCATACATAAAGCCCTAAACTCAATAATGTTCTAGCTTGAATTTTGCTGATGTGATACGCACCATGGCCAAAAGCAACTTAGGGAGTAAAGGCTTTATCTCATCCTACAGGTGACAGTCCATCCTTGAAGGAAGCCATGGTAGAAACCGGGAGGCAGGAACTGAAGCAGAGACCACACAGGAATGTTGCTTACTGGCTTGCTTCCCCTGGCTTGTTTAGCTACCTTTCTTATATAGGCCAGGCCCACCTGCCCAGAGAAGGCACCAACCATCAAGATTGGGCTCTCTTGAAACAGAAGATATCTCACAGACATGGACTCAGTTTAATCTAGTAAAGAAAATTCCTCAACTGAGATTCCCTCTTCCCAGGTGTCAATCCACTAATACCTAGGAAATGCATAAAACTGGGTGTACAAACATATAATCCCAGAACTCAGGAGTTGGATGCTGAAAGATCAGAAATTCATGGTCATCCTCTACTACATAGCCAGTTCCAGGCAAGCTTAGAATACACAAGACCTTGTCTAACTGTAGAAGAATGAAACTAAATTCATATCTTTCACCTTGCACAAAAGTCAACTCCATATGGCACTCCTTGGCATATACCCAAAGAACTTATCCTATTGCAGAGACACTTGTACATCCATGTTTGTTGCTGATCTTTTCACAATAGCTAAGAGATGGAAGAAACCTAAGTGCCCCCCAAATGACAAGTGGTTAACAAATATGTGGTATATTTACACAATGGAGTTCTATTCGGCAGTAAAGAAAGATGAAATAATGAAATTTGCAGGCAAATGGATGGATCTAGAAACTTACAGTAAGTGAAGTAACACAGATTCAGGAAAACAAATGACGTATGTTCTCCCTCATATGTGGAGCCTAGCACCAAATCCTTTTAAATTACAGGTCCTTTTAATAAGATGATGCTATAAAGCAGTCCCTTCTGCATGAAATAACTACCATCATCATGACTTCAGCTGAGCCTGATCACTAAACATCATC